ATGGGTTTTATATTTGGCCAATCAATCCGACCTACCAAATTTCATAAGGATCGGCCGACTATATCCTATAGCTGCCATATAACTGATTGATCGGAAATGCCATAACTTTGGTGTTTGTAAAGTTAGAAAGTTGGGATTTTCTATGGGTTTTATATTTGGCCAATCAATCCGACCCACCAAATTTCATAAGGATCGGCCGACTATATCCTATAGCTGCCATATAACTGATTGATCGGAAATGCCATAACTTTGGTGTTTGTTAAGTTATGAAGTTGGGATTTTCTATGGATTTTATTTTTGGCCAATCAATCCGACCTACCAAATTTCATAAGGATCGGCCGACTATATCCTATAGCTGCCATATAACTGATTGATCGGAAATGCCATAACTTTGGTGTTTGTAAAGTTAGGAAGTTGGGATTTTCTATGGATTTTATTTTTGGCCAATCAATCCGACCTATCAAATTTCATAAGGATCGGCCGACTATATCCTATAGCTGCCATATAACAGAACGATTGGAAATGCCATAACTTTGTTGTTGTTAAAGTTAGGAAGTTCGGATTTTTATGAGTATTAAGAATGCATCATATGAATAATTTTGGAGAATATAATTTACAGAGTATTCTGCAAGGTATATCAACTTCGGCTCCGCCCGAAGTTAGCTTTCCTTTCTTGTTTTGGGTTGATAGTTTTTAAACAATTTCTTGAGCTCAGATAAAAGTTTGCGTTATGCTAGTGCCTCTTCATAATTTATACATTTTTAAACCAACTGTGACTTTTTGAAAAAAACCGATATTAATTGTTTTCTGTGCACAAAAGAAAGCGTTCCAGCAGAAAAACTGGGAGTGTGCCTTCCAGGCATAGACGTTGATAGATTTCCATGCATGGCCCACATGGCGAAGGAAACGGAAATGGAAACGGCAGAGACGCAGGCAAGGCTGTGGATATTAGAAGGCTCACTCACACACACCCACTGATGGCAATGTTTGCGGTGTATGCAATACGTTTTAATGAGTTTTTTGTTCTGCCGTAATTATTTTTGCAGTCTGTTATACTTGTAAGTGCAAATATCCTCGAAGAACCGGCAATCAGGCGCAGAGCTATTTTAATGAAAATATTTTAAATGCAGGAAATGCATCACTTTCTTTGGCACATATATTTATGTACTTAAATATGAGATAAAGAAAAACATAGCCCTTCCAGGGATTGCTCTGAAAACTGTTTTATGGAATATTTTTATAATTCCTACCTCTTTTATATTCTTATTTATATTATATTTAAGTATTTAGTATTTGAAAAAAGTTCATATTTTTGATTTGTCAAGCCAAAATTAATACATTTAATGCAAACGACTTTTTGATTTTGGTTTTCATAAACGATTTGCAAGATTAATCGAAAAACCCCTTTTAACAAATATTTTCATTCAACGATCCCTTGCTTCCATTTACAAATGAGTAGTTCGCATGAGAAATATCTTTCGCCAAATTAAAATAAATTACGGAATTATGAATTCCTTGGGTAATTTCTTTGAAAGGCTTTCCACGGCAAAGCAATCAGCAAATTGAAACTGAAATGCAAATGCAAGTGCCTTGCAACAAAGACAGAAGCTTCAGCATTAATCGCCCACACATATTCGCCAGTGGAATTATGTTGTTGGTATTTCATATTTACATTTGTAAAATTGGAACGCCACAAACACAAATCACCCCGTCTGTCAGTCGTTCTTGAACCATTATTATTGGTGCTGCAGCCAACTGGCATACTGTCCAACCACCTGACATCTCTGCCATTGTTTACATTAATTTGATTTAAAATGCAACGCCTGCGAATCAGGCTTGCTAAGCTGCCATCTGTAAACAATTCATGATTTTGGAAATTCTGGGGCATGACGCGAGTATCGTTAATTAAAATGTTATGGATCGCTCCGCTGAAACAGCAAAAACAACAGAAGAAAATTGCTTTTTCCTTAATAGATTGGTAACGTTAAACAAAGTAAACACGAACCTGCGAATTCAGCAAAATTGATCTTCTCGAATATTTTAAAAATTAATTGCCCTTCGAGTTATGAAAATAAATTTCACTACAAGCTCTAAATCAACAGATTGTTGTTATCATCTATTTTAAAATAGTATTTTTTTAAATAGTTAGTCAAAGTAATGTCACAAAACAGTTATTCTGAACAGCTTGTTAATTTACAATAAACCACAGTAATTAAAAATGAATTTATAAAATGTTTAAATGGTTTATGATTTAGGTGATGAGTAAAATTTAGTTTTGTCGAAACTCTCATCATGACATAAACTACTCTACGGTAAAAGCGGCAAAAGTTTGGTAATATCACCATTATAAAATGTTGTTTGTTATGCTTATTATATTTTGTTGCGTAAATATTTTGTCCGCCATTATAAACAAAGGCACACAATGAAAACATGTGGTTGCAGGAAAGCATTTAATTCGCTTATTGTGGGAGAATTATGGCCCGGGTATTGACTCAGCGAAATTTACTTTCCCTTTTCACAGTTCTCACATAGTTGATGGGATAAAAACGAAAATATATATATGAGGTGGCTACAGTGTTTAATTCCTGCATTTACAGGCAATTTCTTATTTAATTCAAACAATTTGCTTGCGCAGGTATTTTGCTGTTTTTACACACAAAATCCGGTGGGGTCAGGGTGAGCTATTTTTATGCTGTTGCTGCCGTTGCAGTAGCGTTAAATTTTCTTTTCAATTTTCAACACTTTTAATAGCCAATTAATTAAACGGGCAAACAACAACAAACGACTATCTACCCAAATATTTACACACACTTGCATAAATATCCGTGGGTACATATAACTCTATACGGCTTCTGTGTGCTATATATATATATATATATATATGTATATACAAATATTGAACAAAATTTTCCCGTCGGCTTTTGCACATGTACCAAACATTTTTATAATTGCTGGCCGCGGTTTTTATTATTCAACCGCCACTTGCTCGCTTCCCAGAGCACCTGATTCGCACCTGGAACCTCCCACCATCCAACTTGTTGGAGGAAAAGAACTTTTCGCCATCGCCACATGCATAAATCATCGGCCAACTTGACTGCCAGGAGCCTGGCCAAGGCAGCAGGATTTGTTTTCCCTTATTATTTATGCTGACCAACTATTGCTAAATAATGATTTTATAAACAAAAGCCAGCCAGACAAATTGTAAATTATGAATGCGAACGGCTAGAGCCAATTAAGATAATTACTATTTATGAGGCTAACATGAAGAGAAAATGTCGACCCAGGAGATTAGTGGTAATTTGCAGTTTATCCTTCGTCCAGCTCTTGTCAAAGTTTTGTATTTATATCTACGCATAAATTATTTACGCGTGAAAAGGACCCCAACACTGTGTGGACCAAACTTCGTATTCGTAAGCGGGTAAGAGAAAGTTTGGACACTTTCCCCTCAGTCTCAGCATTTTAGGTGTTGGGTATTCAAAGTTTTCAACATATGTCAAGCGCCTTACAAAATTTCTCCTTGTTTAATTACAAATTTAATGAATTAAACAAGGAGAGAAGTGTGGCTAAGCTTATAACAAGATTTATGCAAGTTGAGAGCAAACAGGGTAAGAAGTTATCGAAGGAAATATTATTAGGCCAAATAATACATAAGTTATGCTTTCTTAAACCAAAGCCTTTGTTCTTCATGGTCTCAAATTGATTTTACATTTTTATCAAACTAATACCCAGCTCAAAAACTAAACGAAATATTTATAAAGACAAGAAGTAGGCATTAAGGCTTAACCTTTCTGCCTTCAAATTAGCCACACGAAAAGGCAGCAGTCAAAATCTATATATATATTTTAAATAGAGGGGAAAAGGTCAGACAGCAAGGTTTGTGCTGGCCGTACAGGGCGTATGAGCAATGAACTACTTCAAAAGCATATGAAGCGGTCATCAATTTGACAATGGCCCTTTACACATTTATTTTCTGATTTCTACCCAAAGGTGGGCGTAACCTTTTTGAAATGACTTTTGGGCGTTACCAAGAGCAACAATTAAAAACGAAATCTCATATATATATATAACCCAAATGGTATCAGGAACTTGACTTGGGGGCTCACTGATGTGGCAGCATTTGTCAGGTTGGGGAACAGCCCCAAAAAAGGTATCCTTTCATACTCTCGCAAGCAAAAATAAACTGCCACTTGATTAACGCTGTATGCCGGAAAAAGGGGAAGGAAAAATCCTGAAGGGAAATTCACACCAGGTGTGACAGGTGACAATTTAATAACAAATCGCGACCCGACTTTCTCAATGACGATTCGCATTCATATAGACTCTTGACAACAGCTGCGAAATCAATCAGTCAAAAACTTTCCAAAAAGTATATAATTGAATCTTTTTTCCCTTTATAAAAATAAATATATTTTTAAATCAAATTTAAATTGGGGCGTGTTTAAAAGGTCAAGTGTTGAATGAAATACAAATACTGGATTTATCTGGACAGAGAAATTAACAATAAATTGATTCTGTACAACTTGTGATAATTTAGTTTTGCTTGTAATAAGAAATTTCTTATAGTCATTAATTTTCTCGCACATTTTTGAAATCAATAGACTAAACAAAGCAAACCAATTTTAATGAAGCGAAATAGATGAACCTTGAACTTAAATATCCTAGACGTTTTAAATGTTTACGAATGATATAGTTCTAGTATTTATTTCTTGAATAGTGTTTATTTCTTGAATACCAGTAATGAAAGTTATATTTCTTTACGGTTCCATTTTAATTAGGTTTATTTTCCTCTCTTGATTTTGAAATTGTAAATATTTGAACAAAAATAATCCATCTTCATACTAAACAATGTAATTGTGTTTCACATTCGAACAATTTTGATGAAAGGTTTATTGGGAAACATATTAATAAAATATTGTTTTGAAATAATCTTTATATTTAATAAATTACTTTCTAAGGCTTTTACTAAAATTTGTAAAATGTAAATGGAAAGAAGTACTCACACAATGCGATCTGCTCCAGTTCCTGCTCTGCTTCCGCTTCCGCATCCGATTCCAGTTCTGTCTCCGACTCCTGATGGCCGTCGGGGAGGGGCTGCCACTATGTGCTGGCCGAATCGCCGAGCGGCGAGGCTATGTTGCTATTGCTGTTGCTGTCCGAGGCGGAGAGGGGTCGGCAGATGCCCAGCCGGGTGAGTCCCGGCGGCATGGCCTTCAGGATGGACACCGCCTCGTCCAGCTCGAGGCCCTGGAGCAGGCGATCGCCCACGCTCATCAGACGATCGCCCGGGTATATCTCATTGGTTGCCTCCGCAGCACCACCGCGTATCAGGCCGCGAATCACGATCACACTGCCCTCGGAGTCCATGGGGTCCTGGTAGTCCAGTATGGAGAACCCGAAGCCATGTTCCGTTTTTTCGATATCCACGGCGGTCACTTCGCAGCTCCACAGAGCCAGTCCGGATACGTTCTCCAGGGATTTCGAGCGAGCTCCTCCATTTCCTCCCGATCCTCCGGCTCCGCCAGCTGCTCCTGCATCCGTTAAAGTCGCCGTGCTGGACGTGTAGAGAGAGCTCTCCGATTGGGCCTTGCTGAGCAGATTCTGGAGGCTCTGGTGGCCACCGGGCAAAAGGCTGCGAGTTTCAAAGGCCTCCGGATTTTGCGAGGTATTTATGACCGACGGAACGCGAGTGCCGCGGGCACAGACCAACTTAACCCTAGCGGGCAACTCCTTGAGGATCTTGACCACATCGATGTGGCGCAGTCCCTGGAGCTTGTGCTCGTTCACCTGGAGGAGCTCATCTCCCGGCCGCAGGATGCCCTGGCGACCCACCGGCCCGTCGGCCAGTATGGAGCGGATATAGTGATGCGGACGCTTCTCAATGCCGCACTCCACGTCCACGGTGCCTTCGAGGCTGATCCCTAGACCTGAAAGTTTATTTATTTCGGCAACTAAAATTTCACTGTCGGGAAACTCACTTTTCCAGGCCACGCGCAGCGAGGCGGCGGTCGGGCTGGCCACTTTCACGGGTGCCTCGTTCGTGGGCGTTGGCATCTGGCCGGGATCGGTATCCAGATCAAGGTCAAGGGGCTTAATACCCCGCTCCACCTCTGGCCTCGATCCCTTTCTGGCCCTTGCCGTTTCCGTTTCGGGCTCCGGACACTGCTCGTCGGTGTCATTGCCACTGTCATCGGCCAGGTTCAGACTCCGGCCATTGGTGAGCGGAGCCATCGGACTGATCGTGGGCTTTATCACTCCGCCACTGTGATCACTGCGGTCCAGCACGTGCGACATGTTCGACTCCACGGTGTCCCGCGATGGCAGTTCGATGCACTCATCCTCCGCCCCCGAAACGCCCACATCCTCCGCATCCACGGCCTCGTCGCCTTCGGTGGCTATGGAATCGGCGTCCAGCGATTTGGGTGGCAGCCAACTCAAGGTGGCTATCGAGGGGGAACCGGGCATGGACAGTTGCGACTCCTGGTCCGGGTCTTTGTCCTGGCCTCTATCAAAGCCGGAGGGCGCGGAACTGCCTTTGATTTCCGTGAGCGCCACTTGCAAGTGCTCGTACTTTCTGCCTCTCAGGAATCGCTCCAGGGTCAGATGGACCACGATGTCGGTGTTTCTTAGCAGCTCCACTGCCTGGTGATTGGTCACCCCCGACAGGGACCTGCCGTCCACGGCCACAATGCGATCGTTGATCTGGATCTGACCACTGGTCTCCGCGGCACTGCCTTCGATGATGCTCTTCACGAAAATCCCCGAGAGATCCTCCTCCTCGCAAACATAGCCGGCCACGGTTATTCCCAGGCCGTAGACATTCTTGTGCAGCTCCACCACGTAGGTTTCCGTTTCCGGGGAGTCCATGTAGGAGTCGGGGGAGCCGGAACCCGAGCCGGAACCGGAAGCGGAACCGCCGCAGCCGCCATCTTCGTTGGCCAACAGCTTGCTTCGTTTGCTGTCGGCTATCACAGTCTCTATGTGCTGGTTCTGGTTCTGGTTGTGGTCCTGAACGGATCGCCATTGGGTCTCCAGGGGCAGCAGCTGCAGGGCGGGACGTGGCGGGGGCGATAGTATCGAGAAGGGCACTATGTCCAGATCCAGGCGCGGACAAGGTCGTTGCCCGGCACTGGATTCCGTGAGCGGCGCATTGCCGCCCGGTATCGGAGGCAGTGGGAAGTCAGCCAGGTCGCCCAGCTCGGTGATCTGCAGCTGGGCCACCTGATTCGGTTCCACGGCGGACAGTTCTGAGCCCTCGGCGGGACCGCCGCGCACCAGACCCACCAGACTGGCCACATCCAAGCCGGCGCCGCTGCTGGATCCCGCTGCTGCAGCCGCTGCTGCTGCTGCTGCTGCTGCTGCCGATGCTGCTGCTACTGCGGCTGCTGCGGCGGCGGCAGTGGCAAAACTCGGATTCTGGAAGAGATGACGCGACAGTTCTTCCGGGTCGGAGAGGAGCTTAGTTGGTATAATCGGCGCCTGACAGGCCAGCGTTTGGTAATCGATGGCCGTCGGCTCCACCGGCCGCGCCACTATCAGACGCACCTGAGCTCCGGTCTGACGAAGAACTGTTGCCACCTGCTCCGAGCTGTAGCCCCGCAGTGTGACCTCCCCGATCTGCAGCAGGTGATCGCCCAGCTGCAGTCGCCCGTCCCGCTCGGCCACGCCCCCCGGCGTCAGAGCCTTGATCACCACACCGGTGCTGCGCCCACCGACGAGGATGAAGCCCAGGCCGTTGCCATCGTTGATCAGATCGATAACCTCGACCTGCGACCATTCGGTGCTGAGAACCATCTTTTCCCGCAGCTAATCCCGATGATCCTCTCCCCCCTTTACTTGTTGCTTTTGGTTTATTAAATGTTGCTGACGATAGTTGTATTTTTGTTGTTGCTGCTGCTGTTGTTGTTGTTGTGTTGTCGGTTCGCTTTGCCCTTGCTAACATGTCGCAATGTCAATGTCCGAAATTTAGCGGTGGTGCTGTTGGCAATTGTTCGCTGCTGTTGCTGTTGCTGCTGGTATTTCTCTCCGTCAAATGGGAACGTGATGAATATTATGGTTGGCGCCGCAGCTGATTTCGCTGTTATTGCTATCGCATCGAGAGTCATTCAACCGACAATTATGGCCCGGGAACTGTGCTCCTGGCACCGCCAGCGCCAGCCGCATCATCCACGACCGCAACGGCACAGCGCACCTGTAATTATGCAGCACACGCACGCACATTGCATTAGATGGGGGCGGATAACGGGGCGTATACGCAACGCGAACGGGAGCTATTGTGTGTGTGTGGGGTACGCGGCGTATACGCAATGCGAGAGGGACAAGGCAGGCAAACAAAACAGGAGGAAGGGGCTGGGGCGTGACACGGGCGTGAAGCGAGAATTTAAATTGCTGCCCCGCCAGGCATAACATTCGACGTTCCTTCCAAAATACCCTAATTCGAGGTATATAAATATGTATGCACTTAAACTTATCAAGTTCGAAGTGCTGATTTCGCTAATTGAAAATACTACAAATAAATGCTGGCCAATAAAACAGAATAAATATACAGAAATCTCAAAATTTCTTACCTCTCAATGGCTTTTAGGATGTTTTTTAATACAGATCTGTTACTAAAACTTCTTAAGTCTTTAATTCCAATAAATTATATTTTTAGTCATATCCTTCATATTTAAATCAAAAAATAAAATCAACAATTAAACCAAATAGTTTATTTAAAATTAATAAAGTAGCATAGGTATAATTATAGTTTAAGACTGCTTGTGGCTGCTATATCTTCGAAACTCTCACAGTTAACTTGTAGCTTAAGCTGACAGTTATGATTATATAATAAATCTAAATGTATCCTTAATATGACACTTTGAAAAACGAACGTAAAATAGTAAATATTTTAAAGTTTTTAAATTGGTTTTTCTCGAAGTGGAAAGGGTTTCTTTTATACTACTTGATTATTTTTGGTAGGTATTTCTTGGGACACATAATATATATTTAATAAAAGGCTTGGACCCATGTTTATCCTCTTTTTAAAACCTGCTTCTTCAGTCAGTACGTATTTCTAGTCCCACATTAATGTTTGAACAGGTCTGCAAGGGTATGCGCAACTCGATGCTCTTTTAAAGTTCCCATGTGTTGGGTGGCTGCTGTCGTTTTTTTATTTTTTGCCTCTTTCTGCCTTTTTAATGGCACCTTTTTTGCACGATTTTGTAATTTACATGCACACACACGCACATGGGAAACGAGAAGTTTTTACCTTTGCCGCTCACGTGCCACGCATGTTTGGCACCAGTCCTGCTTTCCCCCATTCCTTCCCTCTTGGCCGGGCCAAAAGGCAGTTCTAATTGGAAAATGCCATGACACGAGGGGAAAAGGGAAAAGGAGAAAGGCCAAGTTGCGACTACTTAGTGCTGCATACTTTGCGGCGCCGTCTTGGCAGTCGAGAAACAATCTGCAATCGAGCGATAAGTTTCGAGCAGCCGCAGCAACTGCCACCAATCACTGACAGCCATATGGCTAATAATGGGGGGAGATCCTAAGCTGATTTCAACTTGTTCTGCGGTTTCCAGTTTTTCTCTTTTTTCCGAAAAACAATTTTTGGTCAGATACAGCCAATACAGCTAATTGTGTAGAGGCAAAGAAAATGTTGATTTTATTTAACCTCTAATCAATAAAGTTTGATGAACTCTATTCGTGTTTTTTAATTAAAGCGAGGGTTATTTTAAAGGTTCCTAAACTAAATTTAAACGTTTATTTAGGTACGTTAAACAATTTTTAATATTTGTTTGGCTATAGGCTAAGGAACAAATTTAAATTTATGAAGTACCATAGAAATAAATTTGTGATAAATATATTTTAATGGAATGTTTGAAAATAAATGATTTTAAGAGCTAGAAAAACAAAAACGGCTCTCAAATAAACAGAAATATAGTGGAAAATTAAAATAATAATAATAAAAAGATTAAGATGTCAAACATTTAGCTTGGCAATAAAAGCAATATCCCCAATACAAACATTGAGATTTATTTTCCCTATTGATTTAAGCTCTCTCAATTGGCATATCTTCCACAATTTATAGTTTCCGCACACAATTGATACGTCAACTTTCACATGAAATCATTAATCAAAAAATACGTTTGAAGTCGGTTCTGTTTGGGCGGCTCCTCCGCTTTTGGAAACACTAATGGCCTACGTAACAGCAGCAGGACCCAAAAGCGTAACCGAAACCAAATCCTGTTCAGTGGGTTGCCGTTTTAATTGTTGTTTCTGAGTGCCGCTTGCTGGGTTTTCGGCCCATTGTTGATCGTATCTGGCAGTGACTGCAGCTGTCAATTAAACGCTGATTGACTTTGCAGTCGCTGGTCTCGGACGGGCACACGATGCGTATGATTAACGCCGCTTGTGCTGGCTCCTGTGTTTCGTCCCGTTCCTGCAACTTGCCCACTGCTCACCACAACTGTTCACTCTTTGCCTTGGCTTTGGTCATTTGCGTGTGGAGGTGGTCTCCTTGATTATGCACTGAGAAAAATACTACCTATCAACCCCTTTACGTTAAAAAATTAAATTTTCAATAACAAAACCCTTACACAACTGATCATCTCAATTATATTTTAAAGTGTTAAATGGCTATATTAATAAAAAATTTCAACTATTTAAGAAACTATGCATAAAAAAATGGATTTGAATGTAATAAAAATAAATTTCATTACAAAAAGTGAAAGAAAGAAAAGTGAAATAATAATTAAGCTGGCTTTTAGTTACAGTATTCGACAATTTATCACCGCCAATAAATTAAAATGTGCAAATAAAAAACTTGAAATATCTTTCATTACACAGTACACATTTGAAAAAAAGGTCCTAGCATTGAACTTATAAATTTGAAAGTTATTTTATTCAGATGAAAAACAATTGAGTTGGCAGTAAATAACATGGTAAATA